CTACCCAAACCATTCTGTGACTCTATCCCATCATCCCTAAATGATCAACACCTCAAAAAAATAGCACGAAGATGTCTTCTTACCAGGTCAAATTGGGTCTGGGGGTTCCTGCAGGAGGGGCAAGATGAAGCTCACCATGGAGGGTCTGTTCAGGCTGTGACAGTGCTGATAACACGAGTGCTGTCTCCTTTCAGTGCACTGCTGCTGTGGGACTCCCCAGTGGGAGTGGCACCCCTTTTTTGGTAGGGCTGTGGGGGGAAGGCCCTTGCTCAGGGAGGGTAGGCTTTGCTCCTCTTTGGGGGGGGTCTTCCCCTTTTCTTGACCGTCCCTCCCTGCTGCAGGATCCTGCAGTACGGACACATGTCAGTCATCGTGGAGAGGCAGACGGTGCACGAGACGAAGGGAGACAGCGTGGCCAAGGGGGAGCAGGGGCTGCTCAACCTCGACCCGCACAACGTTGTCTTCTATGTGGGTGGCTACCCTTCCAGCTTCACGGTGAGACAGGCACTGGGTGGGGAGACTGGGTGTTCTAGGAGGTATCAGTGATACCCAGCTTCCCTGAGAGGCTAAACCCTTGATTTCATGGGAAAACCCATATCAAACTTGCCTTGTCTGACTGGTTTAATTCCCAGCCTCCTCCCACCTTGCGCTATCCCAACTACCGTGGGTGCCTGGAGCTGGACACACTGAACGAGGAGGTGGTGAGCCTGTACAACTTCGAACACACCTTCCAGGTGGATACCACTGCCGAGAAGCCCTGTGCAAGGTAGGACACCGTGCGCAGGCACGGGGCGGCTCTGGTCCCTGACCCTTGGCTGCCCCACAGCATGGCAGTTGGCTTTGGAGTGATGCCTTGGGCCTCTTCTTGTGTGGCTCAGGTCAAAGTCCACAGGAGACCCCTGGCTGACTGATGGCTCCTACTTCGATGGCACTGGTTATGCAGAGATCAAGTTTGAGAGCCAGTTTGGCACAACCAAGCGCTTCGAGCAGGAGATCCGGGTGGTCTCCTACAATGGCATCCTCTTCTTCCTGGAGAATCAGGCAGGTGCTTGCTCTCACAGCTGCATGCTGGACCCCAGGATGTGAGTCTGAGTGTCCGTCCTGCCTCCCCCAGGGTCAGTTCCTGTGTCTGGCCATCCGGAACGGGAAGCTGGTGCTTTACTATGACTTCAGCACCGGCCTGGAGATGGCAAAGCCCAGCAGCAACTCCTCCTCCCTCGCCATCAGCAGCACGGCAAACAAAGCGGTAAGAGGGAACGGCCGCATGCCCGGCTGGCTGGGAGGGCTCCTCATCCATAGGGAATGGGGGGCCCCAGACCCTTAATTTTGGCAGGGGAGAGCTGCAAGAAGTTCTTTAGAGCTGTGACCCTTGTGCTGCCCTGTGTGATGCCCAGTTGCCCCAGGCTGGAAGATCATTCTTCTCCTCTGTCTCCAGATCCAGATTTTCCTCCTCAAAATGAATAACAAGAAGCGCATCCTGGTGCGGCTGGAGCGCCTCACCATCTTCATGGTGGAGCAGGAGAACTCCTTGGAGAACGCTGTGTCCTACTACCTGGGCGGTGTGCCCCCAGCTGTGCTCCCCCCGAGGTGGGTCCAGCCACGGTGGAGTGGGACAGTCCATGTCTTCCCCTCCCATGGCCTTGGCCCTTTCTCAGCCACATCCAGGGCTGTTGGGGCCCTGTGGAAGCTCAGGGAGGAGATTTCCTGCCCATCACCATGAGCTTTTGAGGATGGGACATCTCCGTCTCTGGTGAGGGATGAGGTGGTAACGGGTGTCACCAAGTGCTCCTTTGCCATGCTGGGTGCTTTGCGGCAGCCTTGTGCCTGAGGCGCTGGAGATATCCGTGGCCACCGTGGGTCCTTCCCAGGCACTCTGTTGGAAGGGCTGCAGGGCCATATCCTGCCCAGGGCTGGATCCTGCCTACGGCTGTCCTCATAATACTGCTGGCTTCTCCTGCAGCTTGAAAGCGCTCTTCCCCACGGGTGGGCCCATCCGGGGCTGCATGAAGGGCTTGAAGGCTCTTGGCAAATATGTTGACCTGAAGCGCATGAGCACCGTCGGCGTGAGCTATGGCTGCACCTCGGACCTCCTGGTAAGCACAAAGCCCTGGCAGCCTGGCTGGAATGGTGAGGAAAGCGCCTCTCTGGGGAAGGAAGCACAGGATGCCCAGGGACAGGCCTGATCTCCCCTCGTTCACACAGAAATGAGCATTAAACCCCCCATTCCTCAGTGCAGAGGGGTTGGGGGGAGGTGCTCTGCCTGGCTAGACCCAGCGAGAACCTGAGCACCTCAGTCACCCTCCCAGCACCCTGCAGGGCCAGGGCCAGGCTCTCACCTCGCCTCCACGGTGTCCCTTGCAGGTGGCTCGCTCAGTCAGCCTCCATGGCCACGGCTACCTGACTCTGGCCCTGAAGGACGTGCCAGGGCTGCGGGACTTCTACAGCGGCTTCAGCTTCCGGACGAGCCAGCGTGAGGGGCTGCTCTACCACCACCCTGCCCAGGTGAGCACCTGCGAGCCCCCCTGGGTGTCCCCGGGGTGGGACAGAAGGATCTGCTCCTGCTCTGGGGATGGTGCTGCTCCCCCTGGGAAAGGGGGGGATTTTGGTGGGGCCAGGGGGATAATCCAGTGGAATCTGCACCCTGAGCTCCTGGAGGGCTGTGAGGAAATGGGCCCTTCCTTGGGGCTCCTGCTGAGCAGCAGTGGGGCGATGCTTTCTGCAGGAGGGGATGTGCCAGGTGTCACTCCAGAGGGGGCAGCTGACCTTGAACCTGCTGGAAACAGAAGTCGTCACTGGAAATGCCTTTGCGGATAACAGGACCCACTACGTGGCCTTCTACAGCGATGCCCGTGGGTACGTGTTCTGGCCGGGTGTGGGGGGTGTGCTGATGGCCACGGGGACCAGCTCATCCCCCACGGCTCACCCCCCACAGGGTCCGGCTGTACGTGGATGACGAGCTGCAGGACACGGCGCCAGGCCCTGCGTCCAGCCGGCGGCAGCAGGACGGGCAGCTGCTCTTCCAGCTCGGGGGCTCACCAGAGCCCGGTGCCCTCAGCAACCTCACCGGCTGCATCGGGAATGTCTTCGTCAAGCGGTGCGTGTTCCTGCCGCCCTTCCCAGGGAGCAGGGGAGGCTCGGCCTCTGCTGCCTCCTGGCAGTCATGGTGATGAGGACCCTTTCTCCCTGCCTGTAGGGTGTCCGAGCCACAGATGGTGGTGGACCTGCAGCAGAATGTGGAGAGCATCAACGTCACCATGAGCTGTCCTGGGGGCGAGGAGGCACAGCAGCCCAGAGTCATCACGAAAAAGGACAGATGGAAACCCAAGGTACCAGCTGCTGCCAAAACTTCCCATGTCCTCCACCCCGTTCTCCTCAGATGCCACCGTTGTCCCCTCTCTGAGCACCTCTGCATCTGCGGGGTGCAAGAATTGGGCTTGTTCAGCCTGGAGAAGAGGAGGCTCCGAGGAGACCTCATTGCAGCTTTCCAGTATCTGAAGGGGCTACAAGGGTGCTGGGAGAGGACTTTTTACAAGAGCCTGTAGTGACAGGACAAGGGGTAATGGGTACAAATTGAAAGTGGGGAGGTTTAGATTAGATGTCAGGAAGAAATTCTTCCCAGAGAGGGTGGTGAGGCACAGGGACAGGTTGCCCAGAGAAGCTGTGGATGCCCCATCCCTGGATGTCTTCAAGGCCAGGCTGGATGAGGCTTGGAGCAACCTGGTCTAGTGGAAGGTGTCCCTGCCCGTGGTTGGAACTGGATGATCTTTAAGGTCCCTTCCAACCCAAACCATTCTATGGTTCTATGCTTCTCTCACTCCATTCCTGGGTGCCTCTTGTGTAGGTGCTGGGCAAGCCTGCCTCGAAGGACCGCCGCCACGATCGGGGTGGGCTCTGCCGGCTGCATCCACAGCCCCACGCAGCCAGGGACACCTTCCGCTTCGGGGGTGCCCCAAGCAGTCGCTGGGAGTTCGAGGAGATCCCAGCCTCCTTCAGCCAGAGGTGAGGCTCACCCCACACCCACCCCATACCGGCTCGGGGACCGTCACTCACAGAAAGCAGGTATCCCTTGCAGTTTGGGAGAGCAGGGTGCTCCGGTCAACCCCCTGTCCCTGCAGGTCCCAGTTCTCGCTGGAGGTGAAGCTGAACTCCTCCAGTGGGCTGCTTTTCTATGTGGCGGGCAAACGGGACACCTTCATGGCTCTCTTTGTCTCCAACGGCCGCTTTGTCTTCTTGATGGACGTCGGTGGGCACCGGCTGCGTATCCGCAGCAAGGACAAGTACCGGGACCGGCGGTGGCACACGGTGAGCAGGGGGGGTCAGGCTCAGCAGCACGTCCTTGAGCCGTGTTGCTCCCGTGGCCCCCTTCGTTGCCAGGTGGCCATGCGGGGGTTATCTCGGTGCAGCCCTGTTCTGGGCATCGCTTTCTAGGGACACCTCTGGTCCCGTGGGAGCCGAGGGGTCAGCTAGGACACAGCCAGGGATGGCTGACCCTTTGAGCTGTCTCCCTTCCCTGGGTGCAGCCCTCGGGCTCCTCCCAGCCCAGGAAGCCCCCAGCACTGGCACTGACCTTGGGTCCTTGCAGGTCGTCTTCAGCAGAGCCCAGCGCCGAGCCCAGCTGGTCATTGATGGGCAGCGAGCCCAGGATGCTGCAGTGGCCACCGCGGGGCCCTTTGTGGCTCGGACCCCCTTGTACGTGGGCGGGATCCCAGCTGGAAAAGCCAAGGCTCACATACCGGTAAGGTTTGGTGGTCCCATGGCATCACCCTATGTCGGCTCGTTCCCAGTCCCGCAGCATTGCCCCGTGCGTGCCGGTTTTGGCCTCTCCACACTCACTTTGGTGGCTGCTCTCCACAGGTTGCATCGGCCTCACCTCCACCGGCTGCCTGAGGGACCTGCGGCTGGACGGGAGGGCCCTGGGTCCCCCCTCACGCTCCTTCGGGGTGACGCCGTGCTACGAGGGCGCGCTGGAGAGCGGCGTCTTCTTCGCTGCCGAAGGCGGGTCCGTCGTCCTAGGTACCCCATGGCCCTGGGACCGGGAGGGACGCATCTCATGGGAGTTCCCTTGGCCCCCTCCTCACCAGTGGTCTTTCTCTTCCAGCTGATACAGTGGCAACCGAGCAGGACTTGGAGGTGACACTCGAGGTCCGTCCCCGCAGCGCCTCTGGCCTCATCTTCCACGTCGGCATGAGGAGAAGCCACCATCTCCTGCTGTACATGGAGGAGACAAAGGTAGCGAGAGCGTGGCTTCCCCACAGGTTTTTGGAGGCAGCAGCTGTCTCCTGCCCATCCCGCTCAGCTCACGGGGCTCTAACGGGTTTGTCTCCCACACCAGGTCACGGTGAGAGCGAACTCTGGGGCTGGCGAGTTCTCTGCATCGGTGAAGAGCCCGTCCCTGTGCGACGGGCAGTGGCACACCATCGCAGGTGAGGCGACAGCCAGCGCTTGGCTCCGGGGTGCTGCTCTGCCAGGGCTCAGCCCACCTCTCCTGGGGGAGCCTGGGGCCCTTCCTGGGGTGTATTTAAACCCCAGCTCCCACCTGTGTGCACTTAACGTGGGAGGTTGCAGCTGCTGTGAAGTCATTTCCTAATTAAGAGTCCTTGCCTGATCTCGTTAGTGCCGTCAGGTCTGGCGGGCAGGAGATAGCGGGGTGTTCCCCGGGTGATGGAGCAGACTGTGAGGCCGGGGATGTTCTATGGTCCTGCTGGGCCAGTCCTGGATTCGGCTCTGTCCAGGGCTGTCCTGCTGGAAGCCAAGCCCGGGCGGCACAGCCTGTATCCAAGGGCTCAAAGCCACAGCTGGGCCCAGGGACTTGTAGGATTCACGCTTGAACAGGCAAAACTGGGCCTTCAATGGATTTGCTTAATAAATAGCAAGCGGTAAGGTTTGCATCAAACCTTTCTGGGGGTGGGGGGTCGCAGTTACAGCCCCCGTCTCACCTTGCTGTGTCCTCCTGGCACATTTTCAGCTTCAGGGCCGCTCCCCATCTGTGGCTGGAGCCAGTCTGAGCTGATGCCTATGCCTGGTGTGTGCGGCCTGGCCAGCTCTCTTCCCCAGAACAAGACACGGTGCTTTATGGGGGGCTGCTGTGGCCAAGGGACACATTTTGGGGTAGGGTCTCCAAACTCCCAGGTGGCCAAGAAGGCCAACGGCATCTTGGCTTGTATCAAAAACAGCGTGGCCAGCAGGTCCAGGGATGTGATTCTGCCCCTGTACTCGGCACTGGTGAGGCCGCACCTCGAGTGCTGTGTTCAGTTTTGGGCCCCTCACTACAAGAAAGACATTGAGGTCCTGGAGCGTGTCCAGAGAAGGGCCACAAAACTGGTGAAGGGTCTGGAGAATATGTCTGATGAGGAGCGACTGAGGGAACTGGGCTTGTTTAGCCTGGAGAAGAGGAGGCTGAGAGGAGACCTGATCACTGCCTACAGCTCCCTGAAAGGAGGGTGTGGAGAAGTGGGTGTTGGTCTCTTCTCCCTAATGACAGATGATCGGACGAGGGGGAATGGACTCAAGCTGCGCCAGGGGAGGTTTAGATTGGATGTAAGGAAGAAGTTCTTCACCGAAAGGGTTATCACGCACTGGAACAGGCTGCCCAGGGAGGTGGTGGAGTCACCATCCCTGGATGTGTTTAAGAGACGGGTGGATGAGGTGCTGAGAGAGATGGTTTAGTGGTGGACAGATACGGTTGGACTGGATGATCTCTGAGGTCTTTTCCAACCTAGTGATTCTGTGATTCTATGAACTCTGGGCCTTTCCCAAGAGCCAGGCCAGCTCCTCTGACCCTCCCATCAGTTCTGTTCAGCTCCAGCACCGCTCCAAGGTGAACTTGGCTCTCCGGGTGAGGAAGCAGCACTGACGCCTTGTTTTCTTTTGAAGTTACCAAACGGAAAAACGTCATCCAGGTTGATGTGGACACGGAAGGCAACTACACCGTGGGACCCAGCCAGCCTCCTGCCCCCCGTGCAAGGGCAACCTTCTGCCTGGGAGGGCTCCCAGGTGGGTTGGGAAAGGCGCGCTCCAGAACGAAATACCCCAAAGCCGAGCCGGATGCTGTTCCAGGTGCAGGGCAGAGGTATGGGATCCCCTGCCCCCTCTTTAGCCAGCCTAACACTTGTTCTTCTTCCTTCCGCAGAGACGAAGGCCGGCACGGTGTGGCCGTTACCTCCCCTCCCTCATTACGGGGGCTGCGTGGGGAACCTGGTGATTAACCGGAGCCACGTGGACCTGCCGCGAGCGGGGACGTTCAGGGGCTCCGTTGGCCTCACGGGCTGCCCCGTGCTGTAAGCGCACCTCCGCGTCCAGCCTGACCGAGAGGAAGCCGCGCCGGAGGGCACCGCCCGTGCTCCGACGTACCCGATGCCGTGGGCGCAGTCAGGCCTGCGAGCGTGGGGCCAAACCCAGAGAGGGGCCACAAATCCAAGGGAAGGAGGGCAGGGGAGGAAGGTGGGGCAGAGGGGGCACTTCGGGGACGTCTTTCACAAATATAACCAAAACGTTGGCGCGGGATGGGGAGACAGGTCCGAGTCCTTCACGGGTGGGCAGGCGTCTGCGCCAGGAGCCGCGCGGGCTGAAGCGCCCGGTGGCCGCGCATCGTGTCCTAAACCCTGTTCCCTTTTCCCCCCTCCAACTTCCAGCGCACGTAGATTTAGTTCACGGAACACTTGAGGCTAATAATAACAGTCACAGACTGTCTTCTGCTAAGGGCTGTAGGCAGCATCTGTTTTATAATAAATGCAATTAGGACAAACTGGATTAATTCCGTCACTTTTGTGTTTTTATAAGCAAGGACGCAGCTAACCTCCCCCCGCCAAGGGCAGTCGGGCCTTCACCTCCCACTGCTACCAGAGCTCTGCAGGGGGGAGCTCGGACAGGATACCACTCGCAGAATCAGCATCTTCTTCTCAGATTAATTTATAAGAATTGGGGGAGAAAATGGAATGAAAGGGGCTGCCCCTGCTGAGGGGAAGCAGAGACGCAGGTGCCGGTTGGCACTGGTACATGCAGACGCACCTCCCGCTGCTCGAGGTGATGGTTGGCACCGGTAGACGCAGACGCACCTCCTGCTGCGCGAGGTGAGAAACCATCGCGGGAAAGGGGGGTCACTGACCCTCACCCCCCCCCGCTAGCAGTCGCCTTCTCCCCCTCACGCCGGTTGTAGTGCCGTTTTCACTTGAAAAACCCTTTTTTTTGCCCCAAATACCTAGCTCACTCGTGCACTTACACGTCGTACATGTATTTGTGTGTGTATATGTATCTCTAGCCACTGGGGGACAAAATCCTGCTCCTGAAATGGACTGGTAACTTATATCGTTATATTGTGGGTTTTTTATGAGGGGTAAATATTGTAAAATGGGGTTTTTTTTTAAACATGTCCATTTTAAACAGATGTAATTATGACCTGTTTTTAAGGTGTAGTATTAAAGATGGTCTTTGTAAATCGCTGGTACATACTCTGGAGTCCAATAAAGCTTTACGTTACTCTCTTTCACTCCGTGGTGAAGCGCAGCCGCTGCCAAACAGGAAAAGGAATAACGAAGTGGGAACAGAGGGCCCTCACAGCTGGATTTGCCACCAGCAGCTCCCTCACAGACAGGTACCGCCGTGGTTCCCAAGCGGCAGCGCTGGGATGTCCACGAAGCCAACCTCCTCCTGCT